ATACTACTGGATGATTATCTCTCACCCTAAGAACTGGCCAGGTTCACTACAATGATTGATGCAAGAAGGCAAATCCTTCCTATACTCTAGGATAGCCTGCTTAGAATATAAATAAAAACAAAGAAAAATTTCCTCATCTTTACAGTGGAGTTGGAGAGAGCTCCAGGAATTAAAACAATTTATTCATTTAGGCAAATGAATAAATAGTAGTTCAGTTGGTATTTGTTGAGTACATGGCTTTGCACTAGGGAAATGAGATAAAGGCTGGATTTGATTAGTCAGTGCACCACAATCATAGTTTGCATGTGCCAGGCATCACAGATATTCAGCCTGTACACACTAGAACAACACCACCAGCTGGCTCCACTCTGATGATGGAGCTCTGTGTACTCTGTCTGATCAATCCCAGAGCTATACTGGTTGTTAAATATTTCAAATAGCACCATAGTGCCAGTGCTATGGTAATTCTTTACATGCATTAAAAGTGCTCTAAAATTAGCAGTTTGGGATTAAAATATATACACCACTATATATAAAATAGGTAACCAACAAGGACTTACTGTGTAGCACAGGGAACTATACTCAGTATCTTGTAACAATCTATAATGGAAAAGAATCTAAAAAATAATAGATATATGTATATGTATAGCTGAATTGCTCTGCTGTACACCTGAAACAAATACAACATTGTAGAGCAACTATATTTCAATAAAAATTAAAAAACAAAAAATCAAAAAGGAACAATTTTAACAATAAAAAAATTAAAAATTGAAGTGCTCTAACATCTCCCTGCACGTTTTCTTCATAACATTTACTACAATTATACACTTTTATATAATTAGATTCCTTCTGCCAGATTAGACAGTAAATTCCCTGAAAGCTAGAACACATCTGTTTTGCTCAACATTTTATCTCAGTGTCTAGCACTTAGTAGGTGCTCAATAATTATTTGTCAAGTGAATTATTTTAGTTCTAGAAGCAAACAAATCCAGTGTCTAATTCTTTCCCCACCTCTTCTTGGCTATGTGACCTTGGGCATGTTTCACAGTTCTCTATACTTTGTTTCCTCACCTGTAAGCGGACATAGTAATAAATGTTACCTAATAAGGTTGCTATGAGAGTTAAATTAAATATTATATCATTATCACCATCATACTGAGTTCTTACTATATACCCAGGTCCTCTCAGCTCTAGGAAAATCTTGCAGAATGTGGCCCACACATGCTTATGTTTGAAAAGCCAGTCCTGAGATTCCATATCTGAATGTTCAGTCTTTCCTTTAATCTCATGACTCACACCCTGGTATCCAAAATCTACCAAGCACAGTCAGAAGAGAGTGAGGGACCAATTTTTTTTCTTTTATGTATGTGTTCTGATTTTGCCTAAGGTGTTTGTCTGAGACTTTTAAAATAATGGTGACATAAGTGTCCATCGAAAGATGAATGGATAAAGAAGATGTGGCACATATATACAATGGAATATTACTCAGCCATAAAAAGAATCTAAATTGAGCTGTTAGTAATGAGGTGGATGGACCTGGAGTCTGTCATACAGAGTGAAGTAAGTCAGAAAGAGAAAAACAAATACCATATGCTAACACATGTATATGGAATCTTAAAAAAAAATGGTTCTGAAGAACCTAGAGGCAGGACAGGAATAAAGATGCAGATGTAGAGAATGGACTTGTGGACACAGGGAGGGGGAAAGGTAAGCTGGGACGAAGTGAGAGAGTGACATGGATACATATACACTACCAAAGGTAAAATAGATAGCTAGTGGGAAGCAGCCGCATAGCACAGGGAGATCAGCTCAGTGCTTTGTGACCACCTAGAGGGAGATATAGGGATATATGTATACATATAGCTGATTCACTTTTTTATACAGCAGAAACTAACACAACATTGTAAAGCAATTATACTCCAATAAAGATGTTAATAAAATAAAATAATGGTGACAAACATATACTGCATATAATAAGCAGATAAGCAGCATATAATAAGTAAATAAGCAGACAAGGCAGCAGAGTGCCTGTCAAGTGAGTATGAACAATTTTAATGACAAACTGTTCATACATCCCCAAGGGTTTGTCATCCAATATTCTGTAAAACTAGGTGAGGAATTCATGGGATACAATCTTGCATCTGCACTTTAAATGCCCTAAGATTTACATTGCTGGTTTGGCAGCCACATTACCTCTTCTATTATGAACTTGATACTGTCCTAAAGTGCTTCCAAATCTGCATAGAACCTGCCTACTCTCATGATGATAACTAAACAGGAGACTTTAAAATGTCTTTGAACAAAGCTATAAAATATACTTTGTACAGAGCACTAAAAGGATACACTAGGGGATCTACTAGAAGAAAGAAGCAGAACTCCCCACATCAGGGAGCTCCTTCACTAAGCTTCTATGTCATAACTCAAGTGTGCGTGTGTCTCCAGTCCAGTCCAGATTGTTTTATTCAGCTATTTACTAGACATCTCCATGTAGCGTTCCAGAGGCTCATCTGCCTCACCAGTCCCAAATGAAATTTGTTGTCGTTTACCCTAAGTATGCCCCTGTTCTGGTTATTGGCCCCATCACCCGCCCAGTTACCCTTACCAGAAACTTAGAGTGGGGCTTGGATTTCTCCCTCTCCTTAATACCCCTCATGTAATCATTCAGAAAACCTGTCAATTTTATCATCTCCATATTTCCTTATTCTGTTCTTTCCTCGCCCTCTCCACTGCCACTGCCTTAATTCCTGACCTCATCATCTCTGACCTGGACAACCACAGGAGTCTCCTCAGCTGATTTCCCTGGTTCCAGTCAACCCTGCCTCTAACCCATTCTCTTCACTGCTGCTGAAATGATGGCTCCAAATTCAACTGTTATCAGGACCCTCCACTGTCGCTAAACTTTTGATGACTCCCAACTTCATAGGATAAAGTCCAAACAAGGCCCTTCATGAAATGCACACTAATTCTTGTCCAGCCATTTTTTGTCACCCCACCCCCAACCTTACATGTCAATGTCAGGCAAATTTAAATATTTAGAATGGTCTCTGTGAGGCCTTCTATGATTTACCTGAACTATAGTTGATGACTTCTTCTTTTATCCCCTTAGTGAAATTCATCTGTGTCTCTTTCTGCCATTTCTCACTGTATTCCCATTTTTTTATGCCAGTGTCTCTTTCTAAACTTTCTAAAAGATCTAAAACTGGATCTTTTAGTGTAACACTTCAATCCATGAAGCACTCTCTATATTCATCACCATCACACTTGCCCAAGTCAGCCCTTCTCTCCAGAATTATGCAATAGATTCCTGACTAACCAGGTTCTCTACTTCCACTGTTGTCTCCTTATAACCCATTCTTTCTCTGAATTTGGAGTGTTTTATTTAAACACACACATATATATATATATATATATATATATACATATATATGTATCCTTCACTTCCTAACATATGTTAGTGGCTCCACATTTCCCTTAGAAAGACTGCACATGCCCCAGTTGTCCCAGCTGCCCCAGCTGCCCCTGAAAATCTAGAGCGCTGATGACATGTCTGCCTCCTATCCCTTAAAATTCCCTTACTCCCCTCCCTTTGGGGAGAAGGTGTCTTTAGAGCAGGAGCTCTCCCTTCTCCATTCTTTGATCAATGAACAAATTTCTGCACTGCTATACCAAACCCAGTCTCATTCAATTGACATTGTGACTGTGGGCAAAGGACCCATTGAAGGGTCCCCGACCCACAGGGCATCAGTAACACATTCAGTCCCTGTATCTTCACATTAAACACACAGAGGGGTTTAGATTTTCTACTAAAGGACATAGAAGTCAGTAAAAACAGTTTATCAAGTGGGTGCCATGATGCAAATATACCAGAAAGGAGGAGTCCATATACATTGATCGATTGGATGAGTCCTATGTGACCAGCCAGAAAATTGGTGTAATAATCTGGGTGTGACTTGTGTTATGGCAGTGTACACAAAAGAGGCAGGAAGAAATATGAGACATTTCAGAGGGAAATTCTTCAGAACTGGGTGCCTGTTTAGTTATGAAGAATGAAGGGAAAGAATGGGCCACAGGAGAATGGTTCCCTAACTGAGAGGGAGCAACTGGGCGGGGGTCTTGATTTGGGGTTAGGACAATGAGTTCTACTGAGACTTGTTACATCAAGCTGAGGGAAAGCGAACTGAAGGAAATGTTCCTGTGAAAGCATGGACAGTATAGCAATACAGATCTGGGAGCATCCACATAGCACAGAGGGAAAGGCAGGGGCTGGAGTGGATCTGCTCTCTTGAGGAGACTGTATAGAGGAAAAGACAGTAGGTGGAAACAGAGCCAGAGGAAATGCCCAGAGCAACGAGTCAAGAGGAATAAGAGAAGCTGTGGAAGAAACAGAGGACTATCAAAGAGCTAGGCAGAGGCTGAGCACATGATGTCTTGGAAATCAGAACAGAGGAGGTTTCGAGAAGGTGCAGGTGGGGGGCTTCCCTGGTGGCGCAGTGGTTGAGAGTCCACCTGCCGATGCAGGGGACACGGGTTCGTGCCCCGGTCCGGGATGATCCCACATGCCGCGGAGCGGCTGGGCCCGTGAGCCATGGCCACTGAGCCTGCGCGTCCGGAGCCTGTGCTCCGCAACGGGAGAGGCCACAACAGTGAGAGGCCCGCGTACTGCAAAAAAAAAAAAGAAAAAAATGAGGCTGGCTTGGATAAGCCTCTTGTTCCCTTCCATCTTGGCAGTTCCATGACCCCAAATGACCCAGTATGTAACAGCCCAGCATTGCCTAAATGTTCCTGAGAACTAGCAGAGCATGAGTGGCTTCATGCTCAGTTGAGAAATATAAAGATGGGTCTGTTACTTGCGGCTTGAAAAAACACATCGCTTCTGACACAGAAAGAAGACAGAGGGTGAGGAATCAAACCAGAGAAGTGAGTCTGAATTGCCAAACCCAAACGATCTTCCTCTTTGAGGTTAGAAGCCAAGCAGTTTGAGAAAGAGTTACATAATGGTTTGTCACTCCTTCACTCTCCGGCTTGTGCTCTGTTATGATGATTGCCTCTCCTAGACCACCTGGAAGGTGAATGTCAAGAGCTTCAACTTGTACTTGAGGCTTTGTCACCAAATTCTCCCATAACCCTAGGTAAGTCCCTTAACCCCCAAGACCTCAGTTTCTTCAATTGTAAAATGATTGAATTGAACAATGAATAAATGTGTTAGTAATAATAAATAATAAAGTAATAGGTGAAAAGCAAGGGACAAAAATCACTAAAAGCAACAGGAAAATATACGCAGATTATGTCATCAGGATGTAATTTTTATTCATTCACTGAACAAATATTTACTTCTTGTGCCAGGTATTATTTGAGGTACTGTGGATATGGAAGTAAAAAAAGGAAAAAATAGCAGATATTCCTGCTTTCTTGGAGTGTAAATTTCTGTCAGGGTAACAGTAAATAGACAAGCAAATAAGCGAAACATGTAGCATGACAGATGCCATAGAGAAAAAGGGCAGGGAAGAGACGTAGAGAGTCCAGGAAGGGGGTGGCAGTGGAGTGGGTGTGGCAAATGCCTGACAGAGGAGAAGGAATGAGCCAGGGCTGTTAGAGAGGAGAGCTCTCCAGCAAGGGAACAACAAGCACCAATACGCCAGGAACCATAGGAACACTAGTGTGGCTGCAACTGGTGGGCTAGGCAGAGAGTAGTAGGAAATGAGCTCAGAGATTTAACAGAGGACAGATTGTATAGAGCTTTGTAGGACTTTGGTATTTACCCAGAGTGAGATAGGAAGAACTGGAAGATTTTGAACAAAGGAATAACTAAATCAACTAAGGGTTCAAAAAGAACACTCTGGTTCAGTGTGGAGAACACAAAAGCTAAAGAAGGGTAATCAGTTAAGAGGCTGTTACAATAATGTGAGATGACGGTGACTGGGATCAGGATGATAGTGGCTCAGGTGGGGAGAAAGTTCATATTCTGTGTATTTTAAAAAGCAAACAGGCTTTGTTAATGGATTAGATGCAGATTCTGAGAGAAAAAAAAGAGTCAAGAACAACTTTAAGTTTTTTTGGCAAGAATAACTGGAAGGGTGGGATCGGCATTTCCTGAAATGGGGAAGACAGCAGGATGAGGAGGCTTGAAGAAAAAGATTGGGGGTTTATTAATTTGACATGTTAGACATACAAATAGAGATGTTGAAAAGGTAGTTGGATTTACAATCCTGAAGTTCAGAAAAGAGGTTATCAGAACTAGCAATATACATCCGGGAGTCTTCTGTGTATAAATGACGTTTAAAGTGATGAGGCTGGAGGAGATCACTAAGGAGGAAAAGGAGCTATAGAAGGGTTCAGAGGACTGAGATATAGAGCATTCAAATGTTTAGTGGTTTAGCAAGATAAAGAGAAACCACCAGAGGAACCTGAGCGGGAGAGATGAATGAGGTTGAATGAAGTAGGACAAAAACCAAGAGAGAAAAATATTTGGAAGTGAAATGAAAAAAAGCCTTTCAAGGAAGGGGGATTAGTCAACTGGGTCAAATGTTGTTGATAGACCAAGTAAGATGAGGACAGAGAATTCATCATTGGATTTAGCAACGTGAAGGTTTTTAGGAACTTAGACAAGAGATGCTTCATTGACAACGTAATTGAAATGGCTTCAAGAGAGAACTGAAGAAGAGGAAATGGAGACATGTGGTATAGATCACTCTTTCAAGGATTTTTGCTGGATGGTAGAGCAGAGACTTGTGGCAGAGCTGGACTTGGGGCAGAGTTTTCAAGAGAGTGTTATATTTTTAAGCTGGGCCACTCTACAGTATGTTTGCCTTCTGATGGAAATAGTAAAGGGGGAGGAGCAGGGGGAGCGAAGGAAGGAAGGAAGGAAGGAAGGGAGGGAAGGAGGGAGGAAGGAAGGAAGGAAAGGAGGGATGGAGGGAGGGAAGAAGGGAGAAAGAAAAGCAAGTAGTGAAGAACAGGGAGAAGGAGAACAAGAGAGGGGAGGGGAAGGATTGATCAAGGAGGGGGAGGGGAATGCAGAGGCAGAAGGAGGAGTAAAAATTAATAACACACTGAAAAAGAAAGAGAAGTAACTATCTAAATCAGAAATGGAAGTGAGGACATTACTAGGAATCATCAGAAATAAAAAGGATTATAATCCTTTACTATGAACAATTGTAAACCAACAAATTACATAACCTAGATAAAATGGACAAATTCCTAGAAACACGTAAATTACCTACCTAAACTGATTCAAGCAGAAACAGAAAATCTCAACAGGGCTTCCCTGGTGGCGCAGTGGTTGAGAGTCCGCCTGCCGGTGCGGGGGACACGGGTTCATGCCCTGGCCCGGGAGGATCCCACATGCCGCGGAGCGGCTGGGCCCGTGAGCCATGGCCGCTGAGCCTGCGCGTCCGGAGCCTGTGCTCTGCAAGGGGAGAGGCCACAACAGTGAGAGGCCCGCGTACCGCAAAAAGAAAAAAAAAAAAAAAAAAAGAAAATCTCAACAGATCTGTAACAAGTAAAGAGATTGTATCAATAATCAAAAAACCTCCCAACAAAGAAAATTCTAGGACCATACAGCTTTACTGGTGAATTCTACCAAACATTTAAAGAAGAAGTAACACCAATCCTTCTCAAATTCTTCTGAACAGTAGAAGAGGAGGGAACACATCCTAACTGGTACTATGAAAACAGCACTACCTTGGTCCTATCTGGTGCAAAACACAGATAAAGACATCAGAAGAAGAAAATTACAGATCAATATCCCTGATGAGTATAGATGCAAAGATCCTCAACAGAATACTAGGAAACTGAATCCAACAACTTATTAAGAGGATTATACACCATGACCAAGTGAAATTTATTCCATGAATGCAATGGTGGCTCCACAAAAGAAAATTAATCAATGTAATGTATCACATTAATAGAATGAAGGGGAAAAAAACACATGATCATCTCAATTGATACAGAAGTGGCATTTGACAAAATCCAACACCTTTTCATGATAAGAAGCAAATAGAAGCAAATTAGGAATAGACTAGAACGTCCTCAACATGCTAAAGTGCATTTATGGAAGACCCACAGATAAAAAAAATACTCGGTCATGAAGGACTGGAAGCTTTCCCCCTCTAAGGTCATGAACAAAATAAGGATGCCTACTTTCACCACTGCTATTCAATGTTGTAATGGAAGTTGTAGCCAGAGCACAAAAAAAATAAATAAAAGTCATTCAAATTGGAAAGAAAGAAGTAAAATTCTCTCTATTTACATATAACATGATCCTATATAGAGAAAATCCCAAAGAATCCACAAGAAAGCTACTAGAGCTAATAAATGAAATCAGCAAAGCTTTGGGGTACAAGATCAATGCACAAAAAAATCAGATGTGTTTATATACACCAGCAATAAATCTGAAAAAGCGTTAAGAAAGCAATTGCAGGGCTTCCCTGGTGGCAGTGGTTGAGAGTCCGCCTGCCGATGCAGGGGACACGGGTTTGTGCCCTGGTCCGGGAAGATCCCACATGCCGCAGAGCGGCTGGGCCCGTGAGCCATGGCCACTGAGCCTGCGCGTCCGGAGCCTGTGCTCCGCAACGGGAGAGGCCACAACAGTGAGAGGCCCGCGTACAGCAAAAAAAAAAAAAAAAAAAAGAAAGCAATTGCATTTACAATTACACCCAAAAGAATAAAAGGCCTGGGAATAAATTAACCAAGGAGCTAAGAGTTATACACTGAAAACCAGGAAATATTGCTGAACAAAATTAAAGAAGATCTAAATAAATGAAAATACATCCTCTGTTCATGGTACAAAATTTAATATTATTAAAATGTCAATACTACCTAAAGTAATCTACAGATTCAGTGCAATCCCTGTCAAAATTCCAACAGAAATGAAAAAGTCAATCCTTTAATTCATATGGAAAGAACCCCAAATTTACCATCTGGATTTCTGTCTTGTGTGTGTGTGTGTGTGTGTGTGTGTGTGTGTGTTTGTGTGTGTGTGTGTGTGTGTGAGTGGCCAGCATTTTCCCCATCATTACACTAATCTAGATGCTGTGTCTAATCACTTGCTCAGGATCCTTTGTGGCAGCCCCTGGCTGTTTCCTGGCTAAGAGTGTTCAGGCCAGCATCTGGTCCTTGTGACAGTGACAGAATAGAGGTGAAGAGGGAACACAGAGAGACCCCAGGTAGGATAGGTGTGTAAGCCAGCCATCGTGTTTGGAGTGTGGTGTGAAGCAACAGAGGAGACCTACGAGCTCCTGCTTTGGATTCGGTCTGGGACAGCTCATCTGAATGCTGTCAGCCCCCTCTGTCCTGACACCAACAGCAAGAAGGGGTTTGCTAAGCATGAACAAAATGCAAACCTGAGATCTTTGGTGCACAAAGTTTGTGCTACAGGGCCATGACCAATTCCTCTTAACAGGTGCAATATGTATAGAGTGCACATCTAATTACTGGTGGGTCCCTTCCTTGTGTTTGAGCAAGTCCTGTGGAGAAGTCATCATGGAGAATTAATGACGGCCCTTGCTTGCCACAAACCCTAATCTCACAGGCACTTGTAGCATCTTTTTTACATTCCTAACATCACCTTGACCCTTTAGTAACCCCAAGAAAGTAAAAGGTGATCTGAGGCTTGGACACTTAGTGAAAATTGTGGTTTCAAGTTGATAATGGCCAGCCTCAGGGCAGCTCCAGAAGTGATCAGCAGTAGTCACAAATCCTTGCTTTGTCTCCAAACCCCAGAAGGCAAGTGTTTTGTCACTTGAGACAAGAGCTGGGGAATGAGTTCAGAAATTTGGAATCTTGATTTTATATTCTGAACATTTGTGTTCATGGTGCTTGGAATAAAAGCAGGTGCAACTAAGGGACTAGGTGGACTGCAGCCATTCATCTGTGAAAGGCAAAAACAATTGCCAAGGCCTTTGCTCCATCCTTACTTGGAATCTTTGTGCAGAATAGTCAGAGCAAATAATAGTCCTTTGCACTTCCTTGGCCAAGGCTGCTGGCCAATGCTGTTGGTACCCACAGAGTGACAGAGCAAAGATGAGATGAAACTGAGTTGCAAGAGCAATATGAAACCCCAGCCAAGAGGAGTCCTTTTCAGCTCTTTGACTTTGGTATAGAACGGTTAATCTAGGACCAGGCCTGGAAGAGGGATTTTCTGTGATGAGAATTATTCCAATCTCAGACCTTCCTTGTAGGCATTTCTATGTTTTAGGACCAGATCTGTCTCCTGGGAAGGTAAGGGGCCAATGCCAGCCTCTAGGTTGTTTCATTAATCTGACATTACAGATGCTGCAGAGAGAGCAACAGACCGCCCATCCTGCCACATTCTCCCAGTAGGCTCTTGACTGTGTTGAGTCTTCTTCATGTTTCTGGCCGACTCTGACTCTCCTTGAGAGTCATAAGAAGAGAAGAAATTTTATGCCCCACCACCCAAAGTCTTGTGGACCAACCCTGAAATAATGAAAAACAAAGGCAATAATTAAAGGAGTATAGATTCAAAATAAAATGAAAAATCAATTTTTGTTTTTCAGGATCTTCAGCTCTTAACTGGAATCTCATCAAGTGTTCCTCACTGCAAAGAACAGTGTGAAAAATCCAGGGGGAAAATATGACCCAGGCTTTGGAGAACTGGATATCTAACTGCAGGGAGAAAATACATGAGATTGAATTAAAATATTTATGAATATTATGATGAACAAATTCTAAATAATGTGACAACTTGTATAAGCTCCAAAGGGCTTCTACCCGTTTGGCCTTCACAGTCAGGTGGTATGAGTCAGAGAAGACTTCTTGGAGCAACAGAGTTTTGAACAGGTTGTTAAAAAGGTAATGCACATAGATTTCAGCAAAGGAAGAATTTCTCACTAGGATAAATGACTAAGGCATATAGATGTAATGAGAAAGCCAAGTGAGGAAGAGGGGCAACAGGGGGGTAAGTAGAAAGTAGGTAAGTTTTCTTTAAATAAGCCTGAAGTTAATGCCAAATGCTTCAAACTTTAAGTCATGATTCTTGAGTAATATTCTTGATTATTACTTTTCAGTCATGATTCTTGAGTAATACTCTTGATTATTACTTTTAAGTCATGATTCTTGAGTAATAAAAGTATAGCATATTGAGAAAATGAATTCAAAAATGATTCACTAATTGAATGATACAATCCAAGAAATGTTTTGATACACTCAAAGGAACTTACTAAATGTTATTATTCTGCCTTGTGTTCTGATAAAATCTAAATGTCATCACAGTATTTTTTTGGAAATGGTATTAAGACTAACCTTTATTGGGCACTTAATATATCCCACACACTATTCTATGTGCTCCACACATACTTCAGTTAATTATTGTAACCATCCTATGAGGTGAGCCTTATTGACCACCCTTTTTATAGCTGAGGTACAGAAAGGATAACTTGATGGTCTAAAGGTCACATGACAGGTCAGGATTTGAATCCAGGCTGAGTCTGCCTTTCACATGATGTGAGGTACCTCTCCTTCAAAGCAACAGTGGCAGTCAGACAAATATTTCTCTCAATAGATTCATTTTATGGGGACAAATTTATACACCAAAAATGGAGGAGATAGGGGCCAAGAGAAGAGTAGGAGAAAAGACTCTAGAATTTTAAGTTGAATTATATCAGATAATTCAATATGAATGTCATATAATATTTTTTTCTTTACTTAACAGTCTTATAGCCAACAGGAGATTTACTGAGCCTCATAAGTGACAGAGAGAATAAAAGAGTGCATAAATCAAGTTATTGCCTTAGAGGTGTCTATAATCTAAGGGGAGAGCAAAAATGGTAAATAATGATTTATCTGAAGCTAATGAAATCAATCCTATTCTTGAGGCATAAGCACTGTGAGAGCACAAGGAGAAATTTGATTAACTCTGAGTAGATGGTGGAAAGAACTTCAAAGAGGAGTGGGCCTTTGAGCTGAGGTTTAGAGGATGAATAGGATTTTCACTAGGTAAAGCCTCGGGGAAGCACAGTCTGGGCATGAACAAAAGATAGAGATGTGGAGGGTCACAGAATAGTCAGATGGGAATACCTCAGGAGTGGAGAAAGATGTGGAACTGGAGGCTGGAGAGGCCCTGGAGTCATGATAGTGGAGAACCCTGAATGCCACCACATTGAAGCATAGGGACTTAATTTTTTGGGTAATGGAAATTGGCTTGTGTTTTGAGCTATAATGTGAGCTCCTTGAAAGTGAAAACAAGGTTCATGTCTCAATCATCTCTGAATCCCCAGCATCTTGTACAGCGTCTAGAACACAATAGACATACACAAAGATGGATGGATGGATGGATGGATGAGGCAGACTCAATACAAGCTTAAGAAGTTCAAATGACAGAAGTTAGTAACTAATTGAATATTTGAGCATCAGGAGAGTCAAAGACAACTTGAAGGTTTCTAGCATGGATTACAGACAGTACAGAAGGATGAGCTGGTCTGAGGAGGTAAGAAATATTTTAATAAATCTGCCATACTGCACCTAAAAATGTGGAGTTGGGGGGACCACACAGAAAAGAGGAGACAGGAAAGCATTAAAATAGATAAGCACAATCTGGAAGTCCCTGTGTCTGTAAGTGGGATTCAGGGATAGTTGTCACTCCTTGAGCCCAGACAAGCTACTTCTAGGGTTTGCTCAGGGATATCAGATGAATGCAATGCCCTTGAGCATAGGGGAAGAGTAGGGAGAAGGTGATGTCCTTCAGAGCTTCCCCCTATCCCATCCTCAGGTTTACCTGAGATAGCCATCCCTATCTTTCTCTTTACTTACCTCCTTACTCTCCCCTAACATTACACAGTACTGCTGCTACTCCACAGGCCCACAGACCTGGGGAAAGAATCAACTTGGTCAGAAATGTCATTTTAGATTTATACAATGTCTCATAAACTTGATCATATTCTGTCTGAATTTTTCTTGCATTTTAAAAGCCTGCAAAGATCACTGAATTCTTTGGAGGAAAAGGACTAAACTATACATGTATATGAAAAAAAGGAGAAAAACTATTAGCAGAAAGAGTAGAAAGTGATACACCTACAATAATACTCTGTTAAACTTTACTATTTTCCCAGAAAAAAAAATTAACAAAGTAAAGCTGATGTGCCACACAGAATCCATAAATAGCCACAAACCAATAAAAATTGTGTTATTTTGGCAGAACTGGTTCGAATCTTGCCTCTGCCAGTCATTATCTGTGTGAGTTTAGGCAAGATAGGTAACTTTTATGAGCCTCAATTTTCTTATCTCTTAAATGGGTTTAATAACATCTCCCTCCCAGAGTTATTGTGAAGATTATATGGGATGATCCATATGAAGTTTTCAGTGCAATGTCTGGCATAAGTATGAATTCAGAAATGTTAGTTCACACTTCCCCTTTGTAAACTGCCGCATAGGAAGGTGGATCAAGCTGATACACAGAAAGAAAGAAAGAAACTAAAATGATGCTTTCAATTTGTGGGTAAATGCAGATAATATGAACATAAAAGGGTTTACTGACACCAATACAAGTAAGTAAAATACCGGCTAGTTACTGGCATACAGATTGCAAATATCTTTCAAGTTTCTCTTGCCAAACCCTCCTTCTCTGGCTCTCCCCCTTGAAGTTTGATTGCTACATTTTTAGAACTTCCCAAAGAGGGAAGGAAGAAGAGAATTCCCACCAACAGGCACAGGCATGCTATGGAATTGTTTGTCTGAACAGGAGTCTGGTGATATAATTGCTGAGGTCAACTAAGAACTTTGAAGACTTTTTTCCAATTTTGAGGATATGATAATTATATAAAATCAATGCCAATTGTGTGCATTTAACCTTCACAACTACATTTTTGCTAATGGAGCCTTTGTTGCATTTAAAAAGAGAAAATACTGCAGGGGTCTAGTTTATGGCAGAGCAGTCATTTTGGGGAAAACTTTCATTTTAACCTATTCTCCATAACCTTTCTACCTTATTTTTCTCCCCTCACAATCTTTCTTACCTCTTCTCTGCGCCTTTCACAGTCATAGTTCTTTTATTTATTCATTTGTTAATTTAACAAATATTTACTAAATGCCTACTATATTCCAGGCACTCTTCTAGGTGAATCCTAGTAGGATTCTACTGAATCCTACTAAGGATACAGTAATGAGTAATATTAAGTCCCTGCTTCCACGGAGACAGAGAGATGACAGAGAATAAACTAATAAACACATGGAAATATAATTACTGGTAATGACCAGTGCTACAAAGAAAAATAAAGCAAGAGGTAGAGAGTAACTGGGATATGGTTACTTGCTTTAGCATCACTTTATAGACTCCCAGATGCCCAGGCTACAAGATTGCCCGAAGTTTCATTGCCCTGTGCTAGTTACCACTTGCAAGAGACTGGAACCAAGACCTACAAATGCACAGTATAACACTCCCACTCACCATTACCACCCAATTTCAGCTAAACAAACGGATATGAGAGCTGGAAATTTTTCAACAAATAAACACATATTAGATTTATAATCATATTACCAAGTTCAAGTTCATACTGCTCACCTCATGACAGGCCAATAAATCTAGAGACAAGTTGTTGGGGCAAGGAATAGTGACTTTATTCAGAAAGCCAGAGGCTGAAAAAATGGTGGACTAGTGTCCCAAAGAACCATCTTTCTCGAGTTAGAGTTCAGGCTTCTTTTATACTAAAAGGGGAGGAGGTGTGGTTGGTTGTTGCAAACTTCTTGGTGTCAGAATCCTTTGTTCTTGCAGCTGTCCATGTAGGTCAGGTCATGATGTTCTTATAAACCTCCGGAAAGACAAAAGTTATCCTCTGTACTGCAACTTTTTTAATATATAAATTTATTTATTTATTTATTTATGGCTGTGTTGGGTCTTCGTTGCTGTGTGCAGGCTTTATCTAGTTGCGGCGAGCTGGGGCTACTCTTCATTGTGGTACATGGGCTTCTCACTGCAGTGACTTCTCTTGTTGCAGAGCACAGGCTCTAGGCACTCAGGCTTCAGTAGCTGTGGCTCTCAGGCTTAGTTGCTCCGCAGTATGTGGGATCCTCCTGGACCAGGGCTTGAACCCATGTCCCATGCATTGGCAGGTAGATTCCTAACCACTGCACCACCAGGGAAGTCCCTGTACTGCAAATTTTTATCTCTATAGTGGAAAAGTATTATACCTTTAAAGGTCAGAGCCCTGAGAATAGGCTATCATGCATATTTCAAGCTATAAGCAACATTCTTAACTTGTAGCAAAAGCATTAAGAATACAAAGGTTAAAGTAAAAGGAACAGATCCAATATGGAGTCAGATTTGTTCTTCCCTATTGCAATCAGAAGGGAAAAATAATTCAAGCTTATGTTAAAAAATCAAAATCTATTACATCGAGATCTTAGAGAAAGACAGTGTTTTCAGGCTTTTGATGCAAAAGTGCTCTCAGTAACTGATGATAAAAGGAGACAAGAGTAACCTGGATTCAAATATAAATGTATAACACAAAACCTGAATACAAACACAATTTCAACATGTATCTGCATCAAATCTCTCACAGGAGCATCAAGCATAGAGCAAACTTTCCACATCAGAGAGAGTAAAGATTTGTAAAAAGTAGCAGAGAAGAACAAAGAAAGAAGCCTAGATAATCCACCAAATTAAATAATTGACAATAAAATAACTGATTTTAAATTAATTTGTAACTGCTTAACTGAGAATGGAGGCAGTATAAAGTCAAGAGCATGAGTCTCAAAGATAAATCAGGGTTTAAATCCTATCTCCACCCTGTATTGTTTGGGTGAGCATGAGCAAGTTATTTAGTCTTTCTGAGCCTCACTCCCCACATCCTTGAAGTTATCAATAGAATACAATGATTCCTACTTGATAGGGTTACTATAAGGACATACAAATAACTTTGCAGGGTCTAGAATATCGTAACTATTAAATGAATAGTAGCAATTATTATTATTAAAAGTTTTCAGCCTCATGACTTCAACTCTACCAAAGTGGTCTTTTTAGATGATGTTAACATAAGTATGCTACATTTTTATGAGTCTTCATATTGTTTAACTTAAATATATTATAACAAAAGTATTGCAAGTTCACTGAAGAGCTAGCATAATACCCAGATAAATCATAAGAAGGAATTTTTTTACTTTCATTAATACAATTTATTTTTAAAAATCAGAATCATTCTGCACATGCACATCATTTTGAAATCTGCTTTTTCTACTTAACATCATACCATTAACATTTTTATGACATTAAAAAGTCTTCTACAATGCAATTTTTAATGGCCATAATATATGTAACCAATTTCTGTGCCATAACATATTTAACCAATCCCTTTATGTTTGATTTTCAAGCTATTTCCGATTCTCTGACACTATAAATAAAATCCTATGAACATTTTTGCATATAAATCATTATACATAACTATGAATAATTCCTGGAATAAATTCCAGGAAGTAGAATGGCTAGGCCAAAATATACACACTATTTAATAATTTTAAAACATATTGCCAAATGACACCCTCAGGTGTATTATTTCACATTCCTGTTAGTGTATGTAAGTGCCAACTTCACTGCACTCCTCACAAAAATTGTACATTGTTCTAATTTGCATAAAAAGGCAATCTTAAAAATCAGTCATTTCACTACTTACAAACAACTGGTGATATGTATACATATCTTTTAGATCTTTACATAAATCAGTTTATTAAAATGGAGTTGTAGTAGTCTACTGTGTTATAATCCACTTTTTAAATTTAAAAATATAAAGATCTTCCTATAACTATCCATCTAAAACACTTTTTAATGACTGAATTGTAGTCCACTGTATCAATAAACAATTTATATACCCAGTGCCCTATTGGTGAGCATTTAGATTTCTACCAATTATTAGATTTAATGAAAAATCTTGTAGGAAATCTTGTAAACATTCTTAATATTTTTTATTTAATTTAATATTTATTTTAAAATTTTAAAAATTTGATGTGAAATTGCTTGTCAAAATGGTTATAAAACTTTAAGGTCTTGAAAATATATTGCTAAATTACCTTTCAAAAGGAAGCATCAGTTTATACTCTCATCAACAGTGTGTGAGAGTGGCATTTCCCTACACCCTCAATTATGAATTATTATTTACTTCCATAATCTTTGTCTATCTGATAGGTAAAAATGATATGGCACTTGAATTCACTTTTTTTATTGAGATAAAATATTACTTGAATTCATTTTTTTATTGAGATATAGTTGATGTACAGTATTATATAAGTTTCAGTTGTACAACATAGTGATTCAAATTTTAAAGGTTATACTCCATTTATACTTATAAAATATTGGCTATATTCCCTGTGTTGTAAAATTTATCCTTGTGGCTTACTTATTTTATCCATAGCAGTTTGTATTTCTTAACCCCCAACCCTATCTCGCCCCTCCCTCTCCCTTCTCCCCACTAGCGACTACTAGTTTGTTCTCTATATCTGTGA